AAACTTATCTTTGTTCTCCTGGTATAGCCTTGCTAAAGTGACTCTGAGTGGAGTAACTGATTCCTCCTCCCTGGGCCTCTTCTCCGCCTTCTATGAGGGGTGACGTTGCGGTTGAGCTTGTTTTTGCCGGATCTTGGCTTTGGACTTCTCCTCCGTCGAAATAATTGACGTCTTCCTTGAATTAGCTGCTTCTTCCTCCTCAAGGCGAACAAAACCGTCAGCTCTCTCGTTCAGCTCGTCCATTGTCTTTGGCGTATTAACCACCAAGCTGGTGTGGAACGGCGTCACCCAGTTCATTGCGAGTTTAAATGCTTGGACTGCTGTGGACGGGTGGCACTCCATTACCATGCTCTTAACGAGGTTAAACCGGGTGAGAAAAGCTTGGAGCCGCTCATCCTCATGCTACTTCATTGTAAAAAGGCTCGATACATCCTTAGCCGGACGCTTATTCCCGTAATACTGGCTTATAAACTTATCGCATAAGTTCTGGAAACTGGCGATTGAGCCTTGAGCCAGATTCTTGAACCAATTGAGAGCTGGTCCAGCCAGGCTCGTAGGGAAACACTTGCACATCAAAGGATCATTATTAGTATTCAAAGCCATTTTTAACTGAATATGGTATATGTGATCGACCGGATCAGTTGTTCCGTCAAACAGAATGAAGATCAGCATGGAAAACTTCTTCGGATTCGGCGCGTTCAGAATTTCATCAGTGAACGGCGATGCGCTTGCTGAGGAACGCAATGCTTCGTTTTCTCTTGAAAATCGTGACGAAAATCCTCGATTGGCAGATCTCTTTTCCGAGCTATTGTAATCAACTGTCGCTAATGAAGGTCGGTATGGCGGATCGAACGACCTATCCTCCGCAAATTCACTCTGCCATGGTGACGCAACCCGATGTTCATACGCTGGTGCTTCCTCCCTCATAATCTGTTTGTGATGCGGTTCCAGACGGACAGATCTTTCCCGATCTTCTACTTTGCCGGCATTCGGAGGCAGATTACCGATTATATCTTCATCACGATGTAGACCACCACGATTGACGTCTTCTGGATCACCTTGACGATCAGCTTCGGACGGTAAAGCTCCCTCTCCTTCAGGAGGTGGCCTCGGAATTGCAAGAGCCTCACGATGCTCCATTCCAGCTCGTAGCTCTGCATTTTCTTTCCTCAAAGCATCGATCATGTTCATCAGCTCGTCGAGCTTTGTCTGCTGGCCGTTCTCCAAAGGATTCGAGTTCGCCTCTCCGATCATCATTCCAGATCAGAGCAAAGTCATCAACTGCAGACTTCTTGACCAAATCGGAGCTTCGCTAATGCGCGCACACTAGATCTGAACCTACACTTGCTGAATTCAGTCCGCTACTGGCCGGATTCAGTAATCACAACAGATCGCAATTGCGCAGTTCGCCGGATCAAGCACGGATCTGATCTGCTTGGATCGGACGCCAATTTTCCAAAATCAACCGGAGCCTTGACTCGTCAAGACAGATTGTATTATCATCAATGTTGATTCAGCTTTCGCAGAGTAGTCGTCTTCCTCGCAGAGTGCGTTGAATCGATCCGATCTAGAATGATATCAATCAATCCTTCTTGTTCTTCCCATAGACGGCGCCAATTGAAAGTACAAAGAATTTTTCCCTAATTGTAGAGAGAGAAACTTTACACTCCCAATGATTTTTCAACCCTTTTTCCTTCTCAATTCCTTTTATTTATAGACAGTTACAACCTCCACTGAGCTGATCCTATCCTATTCTCCTTTGGCTGGACTCGATTCCTCTCATTTCATCATGGGCTTCTGAAATGGCTTTATGGACCTGGGTCCATACGGCGCGAACTGGCTCCATCCCGTTTATCCACATCCGACCCATCCTATGCAATGTGGATCACTCCAAGCCCGGGTCGTTTTGGTACCCTCAATTTATTTTTTTTATCAATATCTTTCCAATTTCCTGGATCATTAATGTTCAAAGGAAGATTATCATTCTCATTTATCAAATCTTCAAGTTCATTCACATTTTCTTCATTTTGATTTTCATTCATATCTTCATTTATTAAATCTCTATGTTCATTAAGATTTTCTTCATTCCTATGTTCTTCATTCACCAAATCTTCAACTAAACTATCAATTTGTGCATTTTTCCTAAAAAAACTTATGAATAATGCCTTTTTGAGATTGAATCAATTCGTATTCTTCTTCCTTTTTTTTTTTTTTTTTTTTCATACCCAATTTCAAATTTTCTTGTAGACATAATTGTCAAAAATCTTGAAATCTAAATAACAGGAAACATAATCAACATAAAACTAAACTTTTAAAAAAAATGCTTTGCTGAAAGAAAATATAGATTACCTCAATGGCTCAATATGCAATAATATGATTTACAGAAAAACAAAAATACCACATGAAATCCAGATCCTAAAAATGCACCTGCAAGAGATAATATTATATTAGTCAGAATAGAATTATAGAAAAAATCAATCAATACAAAATATAAAAAAAAAAACCAAAAAAAGAGAATATGATTTACATGGAGGGGAAAAAAAAACTTTGTAAAAATTGGAGAAGTACGTAGTTACAGTTTACAAAGACAGGAGACTAAGAGTTCAGTTATGGAAAATTAAAAATTCAGGATAAGAAAGTAAGAAACTGAGGAGCCAAGTAGTTAACAGCCAAACGCGTTCAAAGGGCACAAAACAAATATATATATATATATATATATATATATATATATATATATTAATTATGCAACAGGGAATAAATATATGAGGTTGCGTGCATACTTTAAAGAAAAAGGCATAAAGGAAAAAAAAAAAAAAAAAAAAGGCCTGCAAAACTTGAGGCCCTCTAAATCTTGATGTTAATATTTGAGGCATTTTCAAGTTTCAAGTGAATTGTCTTTATTTATTTATTTATTATTATTATTATTTTTTAAGCCCATAATCAATGGGCCTGCAAAACATGAGGCCCTAGGCGACCGCCTTGGTCGCCTTGGGTCAAGGCCGGTCTTGTGAGTAGTTTCACCCTACTCACTCCTTATGTGTTCCAATAAAAAAATAACACACAACTTTAATAACAAAATTAGCAAAATTTTTAAAAAAATAGAAGAAAGTCGAATCGATCCGTTTTAATTGGGTAATCACCCTTTCTCTTTTCCCCTCTTTCATCGATTCCCAAGCCCACGCCTTCCTCTATCCACTTTTTCATCACTTCTTTTTCTCTTTTCCCAAACCCTTTCTCCACTTTTTCTCTTTTCCCCCTCTTCTTATCTTTTTCATCGCTTCCCTAACCTACACCCTCATCTCTCTCCATTGTTCTTCTTCTTCTCACCTCCATGGGACATCATCAATCAATGAGCGAGCATGTTTGATTCTTGTTTGGGTTATTTTATTTTTTATTTTTCCTTTCGTGCTCCATTGAACTTCATCACTCAACAGGCAAGCAGTAACTGTGGGTTCAACTAGGTCTTGTAGTGGAAGTATGATTTAATTCTTTACTTTGCACATTTAGAGTTTAATTTTTAGAAAGGGATTTTCAATCATCATTCAATAAGTATTCTCAATTTTTTTTCTCTTTGTTGCCGTTTGTTTGTTTGTTTTTTTTTTTTTTTTTTTTTTGGTTTTGAATTTCTGTTTTTGATGGCCGAAGTTGAGTTTTTTAAAAGACCAAAGATTATGTGTGATATTAACTTGTCCAAATACAAAATAAAATATTATTGAAAAAACTCTTCAAAATACAAATTATTATAACGCAATTCTATAAATCAATAGTATTTTAGTTTTAATAAAATAATTATTATTTTTTTTTATTGGAACACATAAGGGGTGAGTAGGGTGTTTGGGTTATTTATTTATTTATTTTTTACTTTCGTGCTCCATTGAACTTCATCACTCAACAGGCAAGCAAGAACTGTGGGTTCAACTCGCTCTTGTAGTGGAGGTATGATTTAATTCTTTTGCTTTGCACATTTAAAGTTTAATTTTTAGAAAGGGATTTTCAATCATCATTCAATAAGTATTCCCAATTTTTCTCTCTTTCTTGCCGTTTGTTTGTTTGTTTTTTTTTTGGTTTTGAATTTCTGTTCTTGATGGCCGAAGTTGAGTTTTTTAAAAGACGAAAGATTATGTGTGATATTAACTTGTCCAAATACAAAATAAAATATAATTGAAAAAACTCTTCAAAATACAAATTATTATAACGCAATTCTATAAATCAATAGTATTTTAGTTTTAATAAAATAAATTTTTTTATTTTTTTTATTGGAACACATAAAGAGTAAGTAGAGTGAAAGTTCTCACTAGAGAGTAATTAAGCATTGTCTACTTATTATTCGTTCTCTACTCTTCCGGTGATTCTTTCTCATCCGTTCCATCTGTGATCGGTATATTATCCCTCTCTTTATCTCCCTCATCTCATCCATCTCTTAGATGGATATATGCATACATCCACATGGTGATTTCTCCACTCAGATCTGGTTTCTTTTTCATCTTCTTCCTCCATATCTGAAAAGCACAAGCCTTCCAGTGTGTCCTTCCGGAGTGTGTTCGGTGTATTAAAATAAAAAAACATAAAATAGGACACGTCCTAAGGAGTGTCAGACATGTAGTGTAGGTGAAATCTGTGGTGTTATTGTAATAAATAAGGTCATACTTAATCAAACTTATTACATACTCGTAAAACAGTTTCCACACCCATTTTCCATACATTAAAAACATAAATTCAAAATTTATCAAGTATGATACGAATTCTTCACATATTCAGCGAATGACTATCCATATCTATCAATATTTTCCTATTATAGATTCTTACAGTTTCCTTATATATGTTTAGCTTCAATGATCATACCATTCATGCATATTATTTTGTAATTTAGGTTTTCTTATTTTTAGCTTGTCTGTCAGTGTTTTATTAGGTATTCTTTATTAGGATTTTTTGGTTGGCTATATAAGTCTTTTACAATTCACCTACCTCTGGATTCAGTAAGTGTGAGAGAAAGAAGATGAATGGCTTCTAAAAATAGAAGGTGCCGGAATGCTCTGCCTCTGGGACGGTCTGAAGAGATCTCCACCGCCGCTGAATTCAACAACGGCAATGAGGACCTGGTGGTGGAGATCCTTCTCCGTCTGCCGTCAAAATCCCTCATTCGATTCAAGTCAGTCTCTAAATCATGGTTCTCTCTCATTTCCAGTCATCGTTTCTCTCTCCTCCTCTGCCAATTACAACACCAACGACATCCCAAAATCTCCGGCCTTTTCTTCACCTGTAGATCTCGAACCGAAATCAAATACATTCCTCTGATGGACTCCTCCTGTAATAGCAATGGTGGAGAGTGCAAGTCTCCAGCCCAATTTCCAGATTTTAGTGCTGGTGGTGACTCCTGTAATGATTTCAGTGGTGGTGGTGATAGATATAGATACATATATGGTATGGTGACACCCATTGTAGACTCCTGTAATGGTTTTCTATTCTGCTGTTTTACCAAGCGAGGTAGGTACAGTTACCACATTTATAATCCTTCGACCAAAAAATTCACTACTCTTCCCTGGCCTTTTTTCCGCACAACTTTTTCAGCTGAACTTGCATATTTGGCTTTTGATCCTTTGAAATCACCTCACTACAAAGTTGTTTACCTTCAAAGATTACCAAGTGAGGATAAGCTGGTCAACTTGTATCAAATACATATTTATTCGTCGAAGACCAATGAGTGGTGGAGACCCTTTGATGATCCTTTCTCGGCACCAACCGTGGACTTCGAGAATAGTGGAGTCTACTGCAATGGTTCCATCCATTGGATTTCCATCTGCGCAGGACAAACTTCCATATATTTTGATGTTGAGCAAGAAAGATTGTGCCCAATGCTATCTCCACCATTTCGGATTGCTTATAAGTTTCGGCATTTTGGGGAGTCTAGAGGACATTTGTATCTTACTGAGTATAGTGATACCATGTTTAATGTGGAGGTCTCGGATATGGAAAGTGATTATTCCAAGTGGTCATTGAAGTACCGAATTAACCTTAACTCCATGGTTGATTTTGTATCCCAGGAGATGATCGTGCGTGGCGAAGTTTCTGTGCTTAGTTTGATTCACGGAAAAGATGGAGATGTGTTTTTGGTGCTATTTGTAGGCACCAATATGATCATCTCCTACAACATTAAGGACAACTCTTTTAAGAAACTTCATGATGTAGCACACTATCCTGGTTCTTCCTTTGTGCTTTTGTATTCTAATCACTGTGGTGTCCATAGATATATTGAGACACTCTTTCCTGTTTAATTGATGAAAAGTAAATTTTACTCACTTGGAGTGGGTGGTCACTAATTTTTTTTTATTTTTTGTTTTTGTAATTTCAATAATTCTTTTTCAATTTTAATTCCATGACATCAATTTAAAAAAAAAAACAAAAAAATTTCATGACATCAATTTCATGTAACTAAACACAACAGTACAGTACTGTATATATATACATAATACTTTTAACTTGGGTTTAACATCCTTTCTCACATAAATTTGACCTTCCGGGCTCTCTTACCCATTTTGCTTGTTGGCCTTATGTCCAATTTGATATAACATCCTTATTGGGGAAAACCATTTTTTTTTTCCTTAGAAGACGTTGGCATCATGTTAATTTTCATGAGAAATAAATATCGAATAAGAAACAAATTTTTGTTACCTTTAAATAGTCAAAATGAATGTACATGTAACATCCAAATGACAGCATAATTTGAATAATTATTAATTCACACTATTTAGTTATATATAAAAACCACTTCCTGTCCAACCATAGGCATATCTAAATTATTCACCTAATGCTAGAGTTTATAGGCCAATATCAAAGCATGACGAGGAATAGTTAGGGGACCAAGAAAGGGAAGAAGATAAAGAAGATGATCCACAAACGTGGTCGGTAGAGCTGGTCGGGAATGACAACTTATGGACTTTCTGTAACATCTCGAGTCTGTCGGGCTTCATAGGCTTGGGCCTACTGGATGGTCTCTTTGGGCTTCGTGGAAGCTGGGTTTCGCCCAAGAAATTTGGGTAAGCAAAGTGGAGGTGAAGAAGCCCTTCGCAGGTGACTATGAAAGTGTCTGGGTCGTATGCGGACCGCTCCACCTGTTCGCGCACCAAGTTGTCTTAATAAATAAGGTAGGGCCCAATTTTAATGGGTTGGTCACAACCTACAGGTTAGACAAATACCCAGCTTACTGGGGTCCACTACATTTTTCATTCCCTCTTCATGTGTTAGTTGTCGACATAGGGCCCAATTGTAAATAAGGCCGGTTTTGTAAGTGGAAAAATGTCCGGGATCGAAATAAGGAGTTTTTTTGGTTGTGACAATTGCTACAATTGGTTGGCATTGTGTCCATGAAAAGTCACTTCCTGTATCAGCAATGCTAATCATGTTTACAGGTGGGGTTCCAATGGACAGATTCATGAGGTACTCACCATGGTAAGCTATATAATTTGTGATTGGATCGATCATGTCCTCCGAGGTTGAGGTGGTCCTGAAATGGGCAGCACGGAGAGTTGAGCAATGAAAAGCAATGCGAAGACGGTCAAAATGGGTGTCCGATGGGTTGTAGAATGGAGAGAGAGGAGAGTCACGGTGTTTTGAGGTCAGTCAACAGTGAAGCCATCACCAGTGCAAGCCTCAACAACTGAAACATGAATGAAGCACGAGACGAAGAAACTACTACTACTACTACTTCTATAGAATAGAGCAGATAATTAAGTTGAAGAGTTTGATAGCCATACATGGACTACAAGAATTAGAAAGAGAAATTTTTAGAGAGAATGGGATATTGAAATAGCTTTAGAATTGCACAATTTATAGTTACATAGTGGATGCAAAACAGAATTTATTTTTTTAATTTTTTTATAATGGTAAAGTAAAGACACATACCTCCTTTCTCGCATTTTCATCCTCTTTTAAGATGGAAGATTATGTTACACAACACAACCTAAAGACTAACCATTCGAGATTAATTTCATTGAATTTTTTCAAAAATGGAAAGATTATGGTAGGCGCGTTATTTATTTTGTTGATTTAACGTGGATTATGTTAAAAGCCCATCAATTCTTTTGCCTTTGATTTACTGCATGATAGGTGTGATGGTTATGATTACATTTTTTTTTTTTTAGTGGGCTATCTAATCTCATGAATTATATAGATTTTTTTTTATTTTTCTTTTACGCGGGTAAAAGAACTGCCTGACAACACTTACATCAAACACCAGATACATAGGTAAATCACAAAAAATCACACAAATTGACAAAATAACCAACTCCAGACAAATTCAACACTAAGCTAGGTCACGACAACAATAGTGATAACAACCTAAAGCTTAAAAGGTGTTTGAAGTACTGAGTTGACTTAATTCTACTAAATAGCTTAACCCGAACATGACCTGTTTAATAATCGTGTCAGGAACCCTCAATACTAACCCGACCTGTTTATTAAAAGGGTTACACGTGTAACCCGTTTAATGACCTATTTAATAAAACAAAGCATTAAATTATTTAAATTATTAATAATCCTCGATCGAACAATAAATACTAGAAAAGTATACGTTTCAATTCAACCAAATTACTAAATAATCTCTAATTTACAAAATAATAAATTATTAGATACAAGTTTATATAGTTATTTTGGAACTTAAATAGAAATTTGTTTATGACACGTATAGTTAAACGGGTTATACGGGTTGAACCCCTCAATCCAAACACGACACGATTAACTAAACGGGTTAATCGTGCCAACCCGTTTACAATCCAAACCCATTTAAAGTCAACATAAACTCGCTTAACTTGTATTGTGTTCGAGTCGTGTTGGCGGATCATATCAAACTTCGCCACCTCTAATGGCAACGGGGCGGGTTTGGAGCGGGTTACCTAAATCCATGCCTGCCCTGTGCTCCACGACGGGTTGGATTTTCATGTCCATCCCTGCCCCGTTGGGAAATGCTTAGCCTTGTGCTCGCCCCCCTAACAAAGTTTTTAGACACTGCCTTGCTGGTAAAATCCAAATGCAAAATGGTCGAAAGACGACTACCATGAATTGGGTTGAGTGATTGGGGTGAGATAAGAGCCCGAGCTTATTGAATTGGAGTGTTTTTGCTGATCGGCACCAGTAATCAATTCAAAGCATATAAAGATCTGGAGTAAGAAGAGAACAACAGGAAAAAAAGGCCACGATACAGAGGGAATATGAAGAAATTGGTATTTATTAGTTTATGCTTACTACAGTAGTAGTATTCAAGCTATTAAATAAGAGGGTATATGTATGATACAAGAAGCTCAATGTCTGTGAGTGTAATACCCCTAATTTAAAAAAAGATAGGTTTGGAATTTATTTTATTATTTTAAGTTGAATTTTAATCATTTAATTGTTTCTTTGAAGTGTTTGATAATTATTTAATTATTGTAATTAGTTATTTGGTTAGTTGATATGGTTGTTATTTGTTTAAATTGATGGTTTCGTTGTTAGCGTGACTGGATTTAATTATTTAATTGTTGGTTACTTGTAACTGTGTTGTAGTTAATTTTTCTTATTCTAAGTTAAGTTGTTAATTGTCTTTAATTGTTTAGTTATGTGTTTAATTGTAATGGTGTTATATTTAATTCTTTATTGTAAATTTAAATTGGTAATTGTCTTGATTTAATAAGTAGGGTTTTACTTTTAATCAGTTTATAAGCCGTCGTAGGTTTCTCAGTATGTTGGATGGGCCGGTTAGGATTTCAGTTGGGGCTTGAATTAATTTAGGGTTTAGTAAAATCCTATAAATATATGTTAGATGTTTGGTTAGGGTTTTAGAAACATAACAAAACCAAGTATACGACTGTGGAGACAAAGGAAGAACAGAGAGTGTTCACATTGGTTTTCGTCGGAACTTTAGAGACGGCGTAGAGATTTTTGGACAAAGATCTCAAAGGCAAGTTCTAACCTTACTCTCTCCCTTATACTCGTGTTCTTTGCATACTCAATAGTTCCAGGATGAATTACATGTTTAAAAATAAAAACGTTATCTGTTTCATGTTTAGAGTTTAACTGAAACTGAATTTGTTTTAAAATTGTTAAACTGGTTAACTTTGAACTTTCTTGTTTAATTCTTGGTTTAATCCATATTAGTAGCATAATAAGGACTGAAATAAGGGTTGGAATCTTCTGGGATTAAGTTAAACTCTCTGAAAACCTATACTGTGAAGTGTTGGAGGTGTAAACGACGACTGGAGAGGAGAACACGAAGAAGAGGAGGGAGAGAGCCGGCTCCTATTGGATTGGAGGCGGCTCTCCTTGGATTGGAGGCGGCTCCAATGGTCTAGGAGCCGGCTCTAAGGCCATTGGAGGCGGCTCCAATATTCTGGAGCCAGCTCCAGGTTGTTTTCTACGTGGGTTTTTGGTTCTGTTGTTTGTTTTTCCACTTTTTAGTGATTAAGTTTCATAGTGATTGTTTTACTATGTTTTAGTGGAGAATGAATACTGTAATGGATGGTTTAGGAGTGGTCTAGAGTAAACATAAATATTCAAAGATCAGATTAACATAGAATTGGACACAAAGCATTAATCATTAGGATTACATGGAGTTAATTACGAATGTCTTGTAGACTTGTGTGGATTTGGAGTTTCTAACTCCTAGATTATAATGGAAAATTTCCTGTGAGAGTTTGTGCACTGCTAATTGCAAATTCTTAGAATATACATACATACAAGGAATCTGTATTTTTGCTAAAGATTAATTGATGATTAAACTTAACATTTAATTCGTCAATTTTGTTGAATAGGAACTTAACAGTATGATAAATTGTCTAGATTTATTATGCATGCCATGGAAATAAATATTATAACATTTGTAATCAATGGTTGGATTTATTAAAGCATGATGGTTAATCTATTCTAACATGGTTAGGTTGGAATTGTTGGTTTTGGCATTTATAAATTATTTAAATGTGTGGAATAGAGTAATTAATATTGATATTTATGTTTCCAATGTTAATCATTTTATTGGGACTATTCAAGAACGGTTGTTAATACATTCTGATATGCTTGATATGGACTCGTTGATATTGTTATGTACTTGTATATGCTTTATTAACTATTGGACGGATGGGATTGTATGTACCGGTATGGGACGGTGACATACTAGGTTTGGACAGCACAAGTTGCTAAGTTCTACCTATTTGGAATAAGGGTACGGGTTATTAAATAAATCCTCCTTATATGTATGTAAGTCGGTGCGGTTGACTACGCCGAACGACTTAATGGATTTCTTGTGGAT